TGCCGCAAGCGTCTTTCTCATGTGTGGCATGCCAACTGGGCTCGGTGCCAGTCGCATTTACAACCACAAGGGAACCTTGTCTTTTCGCCTTGCCTAATGAAATGACAAAACAACAGATTTGCATATGCAGAAACAGGTGTTGTAACAGGTTTGACTCCTCTTGACCCAAGCAGTGTTAAAGAGAGTAAGTGCAGATAAAAAAAATAAAATAAAAAAAAGTTTATGACCAACAGCTGCCGGGAGGTATTTAGGCTCTAATGGGCACTCAAGTCTGCACCATCTGCCCTCCTGCTTGCCAGAAGTGACGATCTAAATTAAAACCCATTCATCAAAAACCATAAAAATAAACTATTGTTTTGCCAGGTCCATATGTTGCCACTATTTATTTTTACCTCTGAGTTGCGATGGAAGCCGAGTGTCACGACCCACGACTGTGATTCAAGGAAAGTCCAGGAAGCCGCACAGTAGGCTATAATTACCCCACCGCCGATTTGCTGCCTTCAAAACCAACGCACTGCGTCATCGTCCACATTATCCAAGTCCGTGCAATCCACATCACAGAGGTGAAACCCTAGAAGAGCTATTGTGGTGAAAACACGACCATTGTTTTGAGTGGGAATAGGGATTTCCATCTAAACGTACAACACGGGCGTTCAGATGACAGAAGATAAAAATCATTAGTCTTTACTTGGCATCTGTTGCGCCAAAAATAAAAACGGATGGAAAAAGTGAGAGTCACAAAACTCAAAGTTAAAGAGATGCATTTCTGCAAATGTCAAATGCCTCCCCTTTATATTTTGACCATATTAAGTCCTGACACAAATAGGGCATGACTTGGAGCATTCGTGCACTAAAATACACAACTAGCACAACAGCCACCGCCTGACCGTCGTCCTCAACCACCAACAATCAAACCCCTGCCTCCATCTGCATTCCCCCTCCTGTTTTTGTTTAGACGAGAGAGACAGAAGGAACGAACCTGAGACAGCCGTGACCCTGCGCGAGTGTTGCATCCTGCTCCGAAGCTACGCCAGCAGAAGGGAGCGCCATATGCCCTCAGCCCCGAGCTGGATGCTCTTTCTGCAGCCTAATGTGCCTGTCAAAAACTGTTATTGTCATGACCCACCCCTCCACGATTTCTGTTTTCTCCCCCACACACTCGCAACATGTTTGAAATAAACATTTTCCCTCCTTATTAGCAGTTAAAGAGGACAGACTCTTATGCAAGTTAAAAGTTTTATCTTCAAACAGGAAAAAACTCACAAATACAGCCAACTATAAACCTACAAGTTCAACATAGCTATGGATATTCTCCAAGATAATTTGCTTCGGTCCTCATTTATGAGCCATTATTTACGTTGCAAATAACTAAACCTGTTTCAATATGTTCGCAGGACATATAGCAGGTGAAATGTGACGCATGCGTCGACAAAGACCCTTTAAATTAAACAGAGCCAGATTTAGCCTCACGTGATGTTTATGAGTGACAGGCTGACGGCTGAATGTGGTCTGAGCAACACTGACCTTGCCTCGTACCACGAGTGACCCTGTCCTTTATTCAGGGCAAGACCCCAAAACCAGCACAAACAGTCACAGGCTTTGAACAAAAGCTGCAAAGCTTTCACAAATTTTAACTAAATAGGGGAAAAAGTAAGGTCTGTGGGTTTTGTTGGGTGTCCTACGATTTGAGTTTACGGATAAATAGTGACGAGGCGTGCTCATGGCAGCTGTGAATGTCGGCTAAAAGGGAGAGAATTACACATAAGGTCACAATGAACGCCGCGGTGACAAGAGGGGAAAATATTTGACATGTTTTAAAGAAAGTATCCTGATGCTCAATAATCCAGGAAGAGACATCTAACAAAGTTAAATCAGGTCCTCTGGATGGATTAAAACATAAATAAAACAACTTGTTGTAATGATTCATTTTTAATCCAAAAGACTTTGTCAGTCTCCTCATAGTGGATCAACCAGTTTGCTGGTGACAGCCAAAACTAGCTGTTCACGTGACAAAGGAGGAGCATCAGCCGCTTGCTATTCACAGAGGTCCGAGTGATACTAACAATAACAGCACTATAAGGCGACAATTGGACACGGAGGCCTCCGCCAGGGTTTAATGATGGACGGTTTCTCTTCACGAAGATGGCTTCTTTCACTCCTCAAACCAACATTCCTCTCTATCAAGGATGTGCACATCTTCATCCCTGTGAATAGAAAGTGGCCATCAGGGCACTAACGATCCATCGTTAGGCTAATGGTCCTCCTTTCCCAAAGAAGTCCGTTGGATGATGGACAAAATGTCTCCGCACAAAAAAAGAAACCATCCAGATGACCTGACTGAACCTTGTTGGGTTTTAAACCTGGATTATTGAGCATGAACTTTGGTGTTTTGAACCACTTTGATCAGTTTTGTTTGGTGGTTCCTCAGACTAAAGAAGTCCGTTGGATGATGGACAAAATGTCTCCGCACAAAAAAAAGAAACCGTCCAGATGACCTGACTGAACCTTGTTGGATTTTAAACCTGGATTATTGAGCATGAACTTTGGTGGTCCTCCTTTATCGTGTGAACAGCTAGTTTTGGACGTCAACAAACTGGTTGATCCACTATGAGAAGGTGCTATTTATAAGACTGAGTTTACTGCAGCTCCACGGACTGAAGAAGTCTTCTGGATTAAAGATGAAACATTTCAACAAGTTTTTTTTATTAGTTTGAGTCTGTCCAGAGGACCGGACTTAACTTTGTTAGGTTTTAAAGAAAGGTTAGTCAAAAAAAAATCTAAAAGTCTGATAACTTTGTGACTTTAAGAACCCAAAGTTCAAACACGACAATTAAAGGACTAAATACAAACAAAATAAAAATAAGAAAACGTGAATGACTGAGTTACTGCCTCTCCAAATCCAGCAACCTCCTTCGTAATCCACATCCCCTGGCCCCACCCTGTACAGCTTTCCCCAGCCAACGTTCCTCCTCGACGATGTCTAGTCGGGCTTACGGAGTGACCCAGAGCGTAACTAAAAAAGTCTGAGCCGTCTGAAGACTCTTAGGAACTGGGGCACACAAAACATCATTACCGTGATGTGGATAATTATGGCCTCTTGAGCATGTAACACACTCTTTTATCTTAAGAAGTCAATCTCTCCGAGGCTGACAGCTCGCAGCGTATGATCCCGGTAAACAAACACCGGGGAGAGAAAAAAAAAAAAGTGCCATTAAAGGCCAAAACTGTCAACACAAATTCCATCTTTATTGGGGGGGAGGGAGCCAAAGTGCGAGGGAGGAAAAAAAAAATGGCTTGATCACTTCAGGGTTGCTTTAACTTGCATGGAGGTTGTCATGGAAACGTTTCTACGAGGTTAGCGGAGATAAAAAACCCGAGCACATGCCATTTAATTGCCTCCAAGTTCAGCAACAGGGCGAAGTTAGCCGTAGGTAACGGCGCGCGGGTTCGTTCGCCGGGCTCTGGGATGTGTTTAGGAAAGTGATTCTGGTGCGCCGCTCACTAAATAGTTTTAACCATTTTCACCCCCGAAATGTAGCAACACCTTAAGGGTTTTAGTGAGCAGTAATTATTACAGGGGGGGGGGGGGATGGGTGCAACTCAAACACTAAGCAACGATTTCCATATTTAAGGTGAAGTCCTGCAACAAACCGAAGCTGAATCTTAATTTTGATAAATGATTGAAACATATGACAGGGTATACACATTAATCCTGTGGAGGACATTCATTTTCCTATTACCATAATGTAGAGCACGACCACCCCATGATGAATGCAGCAATCAAAAAATGGATGCAGAGGGGGGGGGGGGGGGATAAGTGCGCTGCTCCCTGCGATCGTCCACTCTTGGACAGGAGACTGGGAGACAAATGGCAGCTCCAGCTTCGCCTGAGGGGGGGATGCATCCTGTTTTACAAAAATCTTGTGTCCACACTACACCCCCCCCCCACCCCTGCAACAATATGTGGGGGCTTGAGATATGAATAGGGAGAAGTTGAACAAAGAGGTTGATTGTGACATATTTCACGAGGGGCATTTATTGCTGCCTGGCCTCTTTGAAGAGTGAGAGCTGCTGAGTGAGGATGGAGGGGGTAAAGGGTGGGGGGGACTCAACCCACACCTGCAGACTGAGGAGGGAACACCTGTGCACCCTGCAGCCTGAACAAGAAGGGCTGCAGCTGAATCCAGTGGGGGGTGAAAGCTGATCAGACAGGCCTGAACCATCTCGTAGCTCCGAACGTCTTCCGAGGAGACAAGAAAAAGTTACATAAATTGATTTTTTTCATTTTTTTTAAGCTATAATTACAAAATAAGTGTCAAGACACGGACAGGACCTCAGTTTAGTGAGATAAATCCCATCAGCATCTTTGTTTGCCTTGGGATTGAATAGAAAACAGAGCGTGCAGCAACGATGAGGCGTCTGCTGATACTGGAGAAAACATCTAGCTGTCAAGCAAATAAAAAGCACCCACAACTCCAATCTGCTTTAAAGACTGCACTTTTTTTATTTACTTGTCTGCAGTTGTGTTTACTAAAACAACATGACATAAGCAGCTTAAAAAGTAAGGGATAATGTTATTTTTATAGCATAATCACTTATAGGCAACACATCTGAAAATACTAAATATGGAGCAGTAAAAACAAAAAGTTGGGATTTAATTCAACATAGAATTAAATTAAATAGCGATATATTCCTTCAATTTGTATAAAAACTAAAAAAAAAAAAATTAAAGTGTGCAATTTTGACTTTTAAATTTAAAAAAAAAATTATTTAACGTTTTAAAGAAGAGGAGAAAGGTTTTTGAAGAAGTAAGAGAAATATGAAAAGTTAGTACAACCAGCCGCTGTTTTGAGCTATGGAGGAAACAGCTGGGCGGTAATTACAAAGAAAACACAAGAGTCCACGCGCGACTTGTAAATAAACAGTCGCGGCGCGCGCGGACGAAGCGAGTTAGCAAATATGGCAAACACGGACTAACTTGTGGTTAAACAAAAACTTACCATAAAAAAAAATGGCAGGTATGTTTTATTCCCTCCCGGTAAAAGTCAAAGGGGACACACCAGGTGAGAAGTCGTCGTCCCCTCTCTACGCTCGCGGAGACCTGCGCACGTGACCGTCCGAGAACAAGTTCACCATGACCGAGAGGTAAGCGAACAACAAGCGGAGTAAATATATTTGTTTAATATCCCTGCGCCGTCGGGAGACACGCGCACTGTCCTCCTGCTCCTGTTAACGCAACAGAGAGAAGCAGTCCTGTTTGAATGACGCGAGGAAGAAGCGCCTTGTTTTTTTTTTTTGTGTCTCAGTTACGACTCAAACACATCACGCCGCATCCCAGCAAGCAAGTATATTTGGGACTAGAAACCCCCACCACCACCCATCATCCCCCCACCCCCACCTCGGGGAGGCACTATTCTATTGCATGCGCGCGGAGGAGTGTGTTATTATTTTTGAGGGCGTGCTGCGACCCCCCCATGCGTGACGTCAGGGCCACCTGTAAATAAAAAAAATTAAGAAAAAGTTTGTTTTTATGTTCAAGAACTCCTCGCGGGACTGTAACCTTCCGCGGAGATGCGGCTCCAGAAATTAGTTTTCTGCACCTGTGGACCGCACGCGCACAGGAAACGCCGGCTCTAATTGCGACTTCATTTAGGTGTTTATCACTACAAAATAAAAGCCCTCTAACAAAATGTGCTCCCAAACATAATTTATTTTAACCTTCACCTCCATGAGCAATTTATTCTATTTATTATAAACACTATTATTAAATATGTTGGATTTACTGTTCTGGAAAAGTTTTTATTTTATTTTATGACATTTATCATAATGATACAACATAATGTATCCTATTTATCATATTGAATAGCTGTTTCAATTAATTATTTTCTGTCTTTTTATACGTTAAGGGTTAAAAAAATAGATGAAAAGTAAAATGTTTTTTTTTTTTGGTTATTGTGTGGAAAAAGTGAAAATTGTCTCATTCTTGATTGTTAAAAAAATGTTTGGTTAAATGTAATTTAAATCTAATTGTGCACTTTCTGCGTGAATTATTATTTAATCCAAACAAAATGTAAACTTAATAATCGTTTAATGTTAATGTTGATGCATTTCAATTTATATTTTTTTGTGTAAAAAAAACTGTAAACATATTCTAACAGTTAAGTATTTATTCAAAATGTTTCAAATGTGTTTGTCTAAGAAAAAATTAATAAAAAAAAAAATCCCTTGATGTCGTTCTAATATTTGATTTTTCTTCATAAATTTTTTTTAAAATGAACAGAATTATGATTTTTTTCTTGTGTTATAAAACCTCACGTATTTTCAATTTTATTTATGTATATATATAAACATTTTAAACACACATTGAAAGAAAAAGCATGTAAAATAAATAACGAAGGTAAATTGACTTGTGGTGGTGATATGCTGCCATCTAGTGGTCATAATTTTAATAACATTTTCCCCAAAAGGTGAACTTAAATACACTTGAAACATTTTTTATTTCCTTTTCTGTATTTTCTGTTCGGCGTGAAATGATTTTATTTTGTACAAATTTAAATAGTTGGAACCATAAAGTCATAAAAGCTGAAAACCTCTTTAATTTTAGCCTTGATGTTAACATTAGCTTTACTTTGATGTCATATTCCCATCTACTGATGGAACATATTTCAGGATTCAAATGCCATCATAAACAAAATTATTACATTTATTATAATTTTAACAGTTACATTTAACAACTGACGTGTAATACCTTGGTTATAGTGTGACTTGATGACCAAACTGAATAAAAGTCAAAGAGGACAAGCTTGCTGCATGTAACTTATTGTCAAACAACCTCTAATATCCATTTACAAATTAAAAGCCTTGCAGTTGCTGAAAGGATTGCATGTCTAATTTCTTTCATGCCGGAGTTTTAGATGGAAAATAACAAACTGACTGAGTTGAACCAGGTTGTCTCCAAAAGTTAATCAGTTGTAGAAGTGCATCCAGTGATTAGATTCTGCCATTTTCATTAAAATACATCAAGCTGTTTGTAAGATATTTTGCTAACAGACACGTATGTGACAGAAACAGGAAGTCCACTCTGCTAAGATGAAGGTGATGATGTTAAAGCCCTCTCTCATGGCAATTTTACCAGAAGCTTCTTCCAAACACAGCAACCCAAACTAATAATACTTTGACGTATTGGTGACTGACAGTCTCTCATTCCATGAGCTCCATGTCGAGGGGTCAAAGGTCATGTTCAGATCCCCAGCAGAGGGTGGATGATCCCCTCCTTTGTAAGTGAACACTTCAGCTCAGCCTGAAAGTGCATGAACTGAGTTAGAGACAGACTCAGGTTTGAATATTTGCTTTTTATTGACACTCCCATGACGGCTCACACAAAAGAAATGATCTGTGGTCACGTTCATAATAATGTTACTAATTCAGTTTGATCAGAATTTGGAGAAAACTGCAACATTAATCAAACTAGAGACATTTTATTTCCTGCGAAAATGCATTGTGAATGCTTATTGCTGAAGAACTTGCTGAAAAACAACTGAAATTAGCTTAAAAAGAAACAGCTGAAATGAATAAACAAGCCTTAGCAGAAGAAAGCAGAAAGAACACAGTTATGCTGAATTAGGTTTAAATTTGCAGAAATTAGCACAGAATTAGGGAATTGGCTAAAAAAAGTGGAAATTAGCAAACATAGCTGAAAATGTATAAAGAAGCTTAAACTACCAGAAAGAAGTGGAAACAGCTGAAATTAGCTTTAAAAATGTGGAATTAGCTGAAAAAGCTAACACTAGCATAAAAACGGCTAAATAGTAGCTGAAATGAACATTAGCTGAAATTACCATAAAGAAGTTAATTAGGTTAAAAGTAGCAAAAATGACCATGAAAAACTTGTATTTATCTGAAACCAGCTGAAATTAGCTACAATGCTAACTGAAAAGTTAGAACCAGCTTAAATTAGCAGAAGAAAGCAAAAAGAACATGTTTGCCCAATTATGCTAAAAGAATCAGAAATGAGAACAAAAAGTGGAAATTATCTGAAAAAAGCTGAAATTAGCAACAACAAAAAACAGCTGAAAAGAAGCTAAAAAAATCAAAAAGAAGCTTAAATTGCAAGAAGGAAGTGGAGAGAGCACATTTTTTGCCAAATTAGGCTGAAAAAAGTTGAAATCGGTGCAAAAAATGTGGAATTGGCTGAAAAAAGCTAAAACTAGCATAAAACAGCTAAATAGTAACTGAAATAGTAGGAAAAAACTGAAATGAACATAAGCTGAAATTACCATAAAGAAGTTAATTAGGTTAAAAGTAGCAAAAATTACCATGAAAAACTTGAATTTATCTAAAAATAGCTGAAATTAGCTGAAAATACTAAAATGCTAGCTGAAAAGTTAGAATCAGCTTAAATTAGCAGAAGAAAGCAGAAGTAACACATTTGCCTTATTATGCTGAAAGAATCAGAAATGAGCACAAAAGTGAAAATTATCTGAAAAAAGCTGAAATTAGAAAACAGCTGAAAAGAAGCTAATTTTAAAAAAAAAGCTTAAATTACAAGGAGGAAGTGGAAAGAACACATTTTTTGCTGAATTAGGCTGAAAAAAGTTGAAATGAGTGCAAAACGTGGAATCAGCTGAAAAAGCTAAAAGTAGCTTCATAAAAACAGCTAAATAGTATCTGAAATAGTAGAAAAAGTTGAAACGTTCAGAAATAAGCTGAAAGGAGCATAACAAGCTGAAATTAGCAGAAAGAAGTTTGAAGATGCACAAAAATGTTGGAGTTTGCAGAAAGAATGAGAAAGGAGCACAAAACAGCTGAAAGTGGCTGAAAAAAGTTTAAACTTGCACAAGGAAGCTGAAAGAAGCTGAAGCAGAACAAAATGTGGAAGGAGCAGTAAAAAGTTGTAAACGCATGTAAAGATTTGAAGGATGTAAAATGAGCTCAATTCACTTTCTATGAGGGAAAAAAATTGGCAGAAAAAGCTAAATATTCCAAAAAGCTAAAGTTGCACCAATACCAACAGTCATAGCAGCCTTCTCCTGAATGAGCTGAATGTTTTGATATTTGTTGAAATGGAACAAAAATTGTGGAATGAGGAAGATGCTGAAACACGTACAGAAGAGAAATGAATCCCAACAGTGTGAATGCTTCAGAAGCATCCTCACAGTAACTCACTATAATATGATAAATTGTACACATTGGATTAATTTAAAGCCGTTTCATTATTTTAGCCGACATACTTTTCGGGACTAACTGAAAGGGTAAACAGTCACCCCCGTCTAGCTGTGTCCTATTATTAGGCCTGGCTCGGCCTCGTGGTGTTCGGCTGTAACTGAACTCCGTCTGTCAAGTCACGTCCTCTTCCTGCTCCAACCCCCCCGCCTGATACGGTATCTTTGTAACCGGGGTTGGGACACTCTGCTGTGTGCCAGACAGACGGACAGCAGGACGGGCTCACAGCTGCCTCTCAGGCCACCACACCATGGAGGCTCTCCACATGCACCTCTTTGAAGATTCAGGGGCGACGACCGGGACTCAGGAAAGAAGCTCGGAGCAAGGCGACACGGGAATGGAGGCCTCCTCTCCCACGGGTTCCACCACCGAGGAGGAAACGGACGAGGACTCAGAACCAGAGCCCCCGCCGATCATTCGCAGGAAGGTGTCATTCGCCGACGCTTTTGGCCTCAACCTGGTTTCCGTTAAGGAGTTCGACAACGTAGACGTGACCGAGTCAGAGGTCAGCTGGACGAAGCGGCGGGAGGTGACCCGCTTGGCAGACGAGTTTTATCTGTCTTGTTTGTTCGCGGTGCCGTCGTCCCCGGAGGAGCTGGACCGGAAGCTGCACGCGCAGATGATCGAACTGGAGAGCATAGAGCTCCTACCTGGAACCTCCACCCTCCGCGGCATCGTCCGGGTGCTCAACCTCTGCTACTGCAAGAGCGTCTACGCCCGGATGAGCCTGGATCGCTGGAGGAGCTACTTCGACCTGCTGGCAGAGTACATCCCCGGGTCCAGCGACAGGAAGACAGACAAGTTTGCCTTCATGTACACTCTGGTTCCTCCCTTTGAGACCGGCGGCACCAGAATGGAGTTTTGCCTTCGCTACGAGACTCCTCAGGGCACGTTCTGGGCCAACAACAGCGACATGAACTACGTGCTGTTCTGCCACCAAAAGGGCCAAACGAGCGTGGCCCAAACGGACGAGGAGAGCATCAGCTACAGGAGCAAGAGGAGCTGCCTCAAAGCCAACAGGTAATAAAAAGGGACGCAGACTCGGTTTCTCGCTCGAGGGTCAATACGTTTATTAAGGATCTTTTGATTTGCCGTCCCGAAAACACTATCACTAGCTCCATCTCCGCTGGGCTCTTCGTCTTATTAGATGAAGGTGAACGCAATAAACCCTGCTGCTCGACCCATTGTGTGTTTACACTACATTATGTAACAAGTCTGGGAGAGAAGTTCTACTCTCGGGACACACGATCCCCTTTTATGGTCAGGTTTCTCTGCTGGTTTCCATGATGTATCCCTGCAGCTGGTGGAAGGATCTTTTTTGTTGCTTTTTGGCCACGTTTTAATCAAATGAATCATAATGGGAAGCTATAGTACAAAAGCAGAATGTGTCCAACTCAAGGTCCATGGGCTAAATATGGCCCTTGTTACCATCTCATCTAGCCCCTAAGATGGAATTTTAAAGGTAAAATATGTTTATAACTTTTCATTTTACGTGAAGACTGAGCCTGCTTTAATTAAGACTTCTCATGACAGTCGGACGACTTTGAAGCAAAGAATTTTTCCGTCATCTTTGATTTCGATGTAGTAGAAAGTGGCAAAGAACGTCCAACGAGACAGATGAAACTCTTGTTGAGGAACCTGCAGCCAAGAAAAGATGTCTGGAGTCTGACTGGAGGTCATATTGTCTGAAGTTGCCTTGGTTTGAAACAAGTTTTTAATTTTGTCCCCATTTTTGTAACAGAGTTTAACGCCCCCATAGGGTTCTGAGGAAAGGTTATAAATGACTGTTGTAGATGGCTCCCAGTTTGGAAAACAAGGTTTATTTAGAAAAAGTTGATTGCTGCTGTCCTAAAATGCTCTTTGCACCACAGTCAGTTTCACATTAAATGCTCATTCCAGCAGAAATTTGATGATATTCCTGCAGGATGGTTGCACTTGAAGTGCTACTGCTAGCTGCTAACTACATAATTTTGTCTAAATGACGAGTAAAGTCAACCAGACAGTGGTAGCGCAAAGGTTTGCATAAAATATTTGAAACTGGAGTTGTTTCAAAGCACCAATGAGAACTGTTTTTGCCCCAGGCCGGACTAACTTGATAAATCAGTCAGAACTGAGCTTGTTCGAACAGCTACAAGTGGGATATTAATAACTCGTAACCTTTACGGAACCCTGCTTTGAAAAATCTGAACTATTTCTTTAATGCCTATTCTGTTTATATACCACTTGCTATGCAGCAGTATAGAAGCAGGGGTGTATAGTTAAAGTCAAGGTCAGTATTAGTTTATGCATAAAACACATTTTAAACCTTTAGTACTAAAACGCTAAGTAAAGCAAGCCGAAAATTATAAACGCAGAACATTGTTTAAGTAATAAAAGAAAAAAAAAACGGTTCAGAAGGTCTGAACTTTGTTGAATTTCACCATTTATTTATTAACAGGAATGAAGACGCAGAGGAAAAGAACAAAGAGGTATTTAACGCCAGTATATTGGCTGCAGGTGGGTATAAAGCACCTATATAAGTGTGAACATGCACAAATAAGTGTTATTTAGTGAGCGTATTTGCAATTTGTGTTTTAGCAGAAGAGGAGGGAGCGCTTAAGATGACAAACTCTGCAGAGACGCTGCTTCACAAACAGGAACACCAACCTCGGGTAAAGTTCACCCTTCAAAATAGCCAGTTGTATTTTATCAGCTCGGCTGTAGTAAAGAGCTTTTTATGAGGGCACGAGTGACAACAGAGGATGTATATCATGCCAACATGTGTTGAGTTATTCACAGGGAGGTATGGAAAGTCAGCTAACCTGACACACAAGACGAGGCCAGAACCCCCTCACATGCTAACATCTATTAATAAATGCAATCCGCTCGTGCACATGCAGGAAAACTGATGTAAACCAACGTACGGTTACGAGGAGGGCTTTCATTAGTGCTGCAGTACGTTGCATCATATTAGCAATGTCACATGTAAAGAAATATGTTTAATAATATCAGCGAATGCAAGCAGTTTAAGAAACGTTAAAGGTCTGGGTTTTGGCTTATTAGTCAAGTATGCATTAAACGTGACCTCCGATTTCTGGTTTTTGTGACAGGTAGAAACCGTGAAAAGCAGACGCAGAGCGACACGTTTGGCTCGCGTGAAGGACTACCTCTCCAAGACGATGCGGCAACAAGTAAATGACTCCGCCCACGATCGAGGGGCTTCCCAGCCCACGCCAGCTCCTTGGGCCGACTCTGGCGGCATTCATTATGAACGCCAAACGATGCAATCGAGTGAGAGTCTTCAGGTGCTCACCTACCACCAGATTCCTTTGCTTCCATTAGACTGGAACAATGAAGCACCTCCGAGGTGTGAGACTGCTGGCGCAGATGACATCTGGGCTGCGAGGCCTCAAACGACTTTGTCAAACTCGTCAGAAGAAAAGCTCATTAACGATACGTGGGAAACTACAGACGAAGCCAGCAGCAAAGAAAGCTCGGTGAGTGACGTATGGCAGGCTTTTCTTAATGGGCCCAGCTGCGAGGACCACTCGGATGTTTCAGAGTCAGAATGGCTCCAGACAGCAGCGTTGGTTTCTCCCTCAAACGGTAGGGAGCCACAAACTCAATATTCAGCAGAAAGTCGAGAGTTTCAAGATACGACTGCTGTCTCACACACCTTAGCCGCTTGTCAGCCACTGTCAGACACTTGTGAGCCGTTGTCGGCGGTTGTTGCCTTGAACACTAAAGATCACCAGCCGGAGGAAGCATGTGTCAGCAGCTCAGGAGATGATAACGCAGCAACTCAAGCCGCATCCCAAAGGTCACAGACGAACTCTGTAACAGGCACTCCACTGGAATTTAGCCTTGAGAGGGCGCCGCTTGTGTCCGGGGACTCTGACAGCCCGACTGAGTGTCACGAGCAGGAGGTGTGGGAGCGAGAATGTGGAAGAATAATAGCAGCAGGAATAGGAGGAGGCGAACCCTTCACTTTGCACACAGCTGACTTGGTAACAAGCTCAAGGGAGTCTGAGACAACAGACATGATGGCAATGCCCGAGTCTCACAATGGCAACCCCGGTGATATGATCTCAGAAGGAGCAAGGCAGGATGAAGGTCTTTCTTCCAGCGGGGAGGTTGCAGCCACTGCAGACAATGCAGGGGATGACATTCTGTTATTTAGGGAGACAATCGAACAGGAGACAAAGGATGTGGAGAGAAATGTCTTTTCTGCATCCACACAGGAAGTGGAGGAGGAAATTACCATTAGTTATATGGAAAATAAAGAGTTCTTTAGGTCAGAGAAAGCCAAGGATAAGCTAGAAAACCAAGAGGCAGGACTTGTGCAAATGGAGAAAAGGTTAAGTCTGGAGGCCCGTGGTACACGTGGCCAAAACGAGGACGTAGCGTTGGAAGTAATGGAGGAACGCGCTGATCTGAAATCTGGAACAGGCGAACACGTATTTGAGTCAAATATGACAGAAGACGAAAACAGGTCGAGTTGTGATGGAAAAGCAACGGAGAAAAAGGAAATGAGCCCTCCGAAACTGTTTAGACCTGTAGAAGATACAATGGAATCGAAAAAGATTTTACAAATTGGCCATAATTTGCCAAGACTTGGTCCCATAGATAAATGCAACCCAAAGCCCTTGGAGGAGGCCGAATTGAAATGGACGTGCTCCCAGCGAGACTTGAAGACCCAAAATGACCACTTAAGTAGTGAAATAAGCCCAGAAGATGTTAAGGCACAGAAGAACGCTCCAAAGAGAGATACTTCAACAGAACACCACAATGAAACATCAGGTGGAACAGAAGATGATCTGAGTCAGGAAGATAAGAGCGTTGCCATTGGAAAGCTGAAAATGGAGGCAATGAGAGAGATGATGGGTAATGCAGAGGGTCATCAGATGAATGCATGGAAAGAACAAGAACTGTCAGCAGAAGTTGAGAGCTCTCCAACTGGTGAATGTAAAAAACCATCACTCGGAACAAAAGACCCCATTACAGCTGTAAATAGTGCAGTGCCTGAAGTGGCGGAGCTGAGAATGGAGCGGATGGTTATAGAAAGGTTTGGAGAAGATTTGGTGAGTAAGATCTGGGAAGACATCTTTGTTCGAGAGGTCCAAACTTCCAATGGGCGAACGAATACTGTGGATGAAATGAGAAACGTTGTAACAGACGCTGTGCAGGGCTGCCATTTTTTTTTCAAAGAAGGCACTTTGGATTCGGGCGTGTTTTCTCTGACAGAACTACCAACAGATTTGAATTTAAGTCTGGGTCGAGCAGTGGAGCGAACCTGGACTGAGAGCAACGAGTGCTCCGCGCAAGACAAAAGTCAAGACCTTGAGGCGACACGGAAAACTCTCATTCTCAACGATTTACGAACCAGTTTGGGTTCAAGTCGGGATCTCACAACCACTTTAGCTGCTCAGGTTGGTGAGCCGTTGTTTCAGTCGACCCAGGCTCCCTCCTCACCAACAGATCAAGGAAACTGCTCCCAAATTAAAGCCAGATTAGACATGGGACAGGAGACAGAAAGTCAAACAGAAGACTGTGTATCGACTTGCAAAAAGAGCTCAGATCGACCGTCCAACTGCTCCAACAAACACCTGAGCTCCTCGGAGAAATTAAAGGAGTCCGATGCCCTTTTATGGTGGACTGTATTATACACCATCAGCCACTTAACTAGACTTCTAATCTGCACACTCATGGTCGGTGGCTTTTTCTTTGTGGTCTTCCTCTATGATTTCCCAGCATTCTTTGCTTTTTACTTATTTTCCATGTGTTGGTGGGTTTACACGTGGAAGAGGCACAGGGTGACGGCGGACAACCGTTTAACAGGATAGGCTCGATGTCGTCGCGTTTTGAAACACCGGTCACCAGCGAGATCACGGTTAATTTACACACTTTGCTGTAAGTGTGTGTGTTTGTGTGTGTGTGATTGTAACTTAAAACCTCCTCAGAGCCATTTCCTCTCAAGGGGACATTGGCTTCCCTGCATCGTATTGTTATTTTGTTCATTTTTAGCACTTGCTTTAATCAAAAATACACATTTTTAACATCAAAGTTCATGCTCAGTAACACAGGTAAAAAATGCAACAAAGTTAAGTCAGGTAATCTGGATGGTTTCTTTTTTTGTTGAGACATTTTGTCCTTGATCCAAAGGACTTCATCAGACCGAGGACTTGGAGCCACAACAAACTCAGTCCCACAAGCAGCACACTCCCATAGTGGACCATTTGTTGGATTTTCTATCTGGATTATTGAGCATGAACTTTGATGTTTTGAATCATTTTGGCTATGGCTGCCTCAAAGGAGACGACGGTGGAGAGGGCGGGCTCCAGAAACCATCTTATCACCAACAAACTGGTTGGCCCACTATGTGAGTGTGCTGCTTGTGGGACAGTTTGTTGTGGCTCCTCGGACTGAGGAAGTCCTTTGGATGAAGGGCGAAACATCTCAACAAAACAGAAACCGTCCAGACTTTGTTGGATATATATATTTTAACAACTTTTTTGAACTACTAATTGTTCAAAAGCAATTTTTGTATTTTTTAAACACCAAATAGTCCAAATAGAAAAAGGAAATGAAAACTGCACATCAAGTGAAAGAAAAGTTTCAGAAGGTTATATTTTAATGTATTTTTCCTTTTTTGTGTGTGTGTTAATTATAGCAATAATTGACTAAACTTTTGATGCTTGTAACCCAGTAAAAAATGACAAATTTGATCCAGTGCAGAGCTTATCAGTCATAAGTTTTTAGGGTTATTTAGTTATTGTTGTTACATTAAAAATATACGTTTGTCTCTTTTATTTAGTGCCACAGCCTTGAAATTAGTCACAAAGCCTTCCAGTGACCATGAGCCTCATGTTGGGAACCTCTTGAGCTAATCAAACGAGGAGACTAACAAATATTGTTGAGATTACGCATCGAACTACAAATAGAAGATTATAGATAGCTTTTCATTGTATCCACTTATTTTTAAGCGCTTAGCAGAAGTAAAGTTTTAACATTTATGCGTACAATGTGTGTATATTTGCTGTGTTTTATGGGCCCAATGTGACTTCACAGTGTACCAAATAACTAGTGTATTTCTGGGATTTTCTCCAATAAAGAAAATTCATGTGATTAACAAAAAAAGGTCTCAAACTGTTGTTTTACGCAGATATGCCAATAAAGTTTAACAAGGTTTGCCCGCGTTATCTTCTTTGAATCATTCCTCCTGATGGAGGACCATGCAACGTCCAAATGCAAAAACAAAATAAAAGCAGATTTAATTAATCCTGCACTTGTTTAAAATTCAATTTCACAATTGCCCAATACCTACAAAAAAGTCAGCAGATTAGCATGAAGTCATGATTACACTTTTACAAATATTTGCTTAATTAATGCGACATAAATCATATTTTATTTGCTCATATTCAGATAAGATCATATGCAGTGCCAGTGGACGTATCTCTGCATATATTTGGTGTTATGGGTGTTTAGGGTCGTGCAAATGCATACGTTTAAATCCAGCTGACACTTATTCCCTCTTTAAAACAAAGCTTTAAGTCAAAAATGTGTTGATATATAAAGCCAGAATAAATTGAAACATGTCTGTGCTTCTTTCTCTGAGCAGGCACCAAGCACAGTTCAGCTGAGGTGATTTCCTTGTTTCAAAGCTATTTTCTGCCGGGATACCTCGAGTCTGGGGCATCTATGTGAATGCCGTGGCATTCTCTGAGCAGCGCAACGTATCCCTTTAAAACATTTGCTCGGCAACAGCTCGAAGGCCGAGACAAAGTGGCCGAGACGCTGACCTCAGAGTCCCCCTTCCCCTCGTCTGAACTGCCATCTGCGGGTTATGCTGGGACAAGCTGTTACCGTGTCATGTCAAGTGAGAGCAGAACAGGAGGGCCGTCCCTGATTTCAGTTTGTCCCTCTATGGTTTGTGCTGAGGAGGAGAGAAAACTGCCTTTCAGACTCTGCAGCAAGTTTTCAGTTTAACGCGCGGGCACCAGGTTTTAAGGCTGTTGATGAGAAAATGGCCTCCTAAGTGACACTGCATTTCAGCAGGAGTTACTCGAACTGGTCGAGGGCACGTTGACCTTTTGTAAGCTGGCTTCAGTTCCATGCTGGCGCTTTTATCTGACTGGCAGCGATCCAGTGCTGGCAGAGGGGAGGGCTACTCTTCGTAGAGCGCAGCTCTGAGGAGGCACAGTGCAAACCTGGCACATGGACGGTGACGTGCGCAGAATGAGAAGCTGCAGGGATGGAGAGAAACTGAGAAACCTGAAAAGAATCTAAACTCAGAGGTTTAGATTTCTTGTGATTGTGCTGCAAAAACTAAACATCTGCAGTCCTGCATACACTGGTTAGTCTGTTGCTTTTAAACTACTTGGAAGAAAACTCTGTATTTGCAGTAGCTACAATTATAAAATATCTTTTTTTTTAAACCAAAACTTCTGTTTGTGTGTGTGAGCATTAATATTCTACATTCAAAACTTTATTGTTACTGCTCATAGAAAACAAGAAGACAGAAGAAAATCTCCTGAGGACGTCATATGAAGTTTTACAGTACTGATATACTGTTGTATAACTGGAGGTCGGACAAGAACCAGGAAGTTGAAGTCACAATAAATGAGCGCCCTCTAGTGACGGGCTGCAGTACAATCCATGTAAACCAATGGAACTAGTTTTGACTAAAAATAAAAATACACATCAGATTTTCTTTCCTTTTTTTTAAGTTTCAACTAGTTATTTGAGACTGTGAAGCGTCATGTTACCCTGCACTCCGGTTTTCTCCAACAGACCCCAAACATGCATGTTAGGGTAGTTCAAAAACTATAAATTGCCCTCAAGTGTGTGGTCCTGTGATGGACTTAGTATCTGTCCAGCTTGTACCTCACCTCTCACGCAACGGCCACTAAAGTTAGGCACCAGCTCCCCCGTGGCTGTGCATTGAAAAAGTGGGTAAAGAAAATTGATCTTACACTGTGATTGACAGCTGCTTACCAAACTGGGAGAGGCGGGACTTGTGTATTGGCGGTACAACCCCATATACCTACAGATTCTCGCTCAAAAAAATGCATGGCAGTGCCCCCCAAAATTGACATTTTAATTTCAATTGTGACCATTGAAAGTAATGAAGTCAACTTGTCCATCTTTATTTATAGCAATGTGGACGGGAGGTGCAAGCGTGGCAGAAAATCTCTGTTTGAACAACAGTCAGGAGTAGATGAGGCCTCGGGATAGTGGATGAATCTTTCCTGCACAGAGAAGCACAATAAGACCAGACATTAGAACATGTAGATAACAAAGCTGTCAAGAGGAACAATAAAATACTTAATGTGTACTTTTATACTTTATTTGTCCATATGACATTTAAGTAATAACATCACTTCTATATAAGCATTAACTGACTTAGAATTATTTACCTTTTTTTTTAAAGATTTTGGATTTGCCAAGCTAAATATAGTTGTTTTAGCTTTAGCCGAGTTCACCTCAGGCTGCTGAGGACTCCTGAGGTGAACGTGGACAGCTGACTCCCACAAGCACACCCTGCACCTTGTGATACAAGACTAAAACGAGACCCTGCCATCGTGCGTCCATGTCCTTGACATTCATCCTCTCGCATTACAAAGTGTGTACAGGATTATATCTGTGGGGTCCAGGAGCACAAGATATTTCTGAGGTCTGATGGCCTCTTGAAACATCAACACCTGGGTTCAGATCAGGAATTCAGGTGGGGTTTTTAAGGGTACAGTATTCTACTGTGCTAATAATACCCAACTAGAATAGTAAGTTACACTGTATTAATGCGTCATATGAGGGAAAGGACGCAAACTATAATAAGGAATGCACGATCATGTGAGTGTTATTCTCAGGAGAGAGTACCACTTGAGTTCATCACAGGCCACTGGAGTCCAATATCCAATATCATAGTTACATTAAAACGGTATTAAATGTTCTTCTACTGTCTGACAGTTTGAGGAACGGCACACAGGCAGAAATCAAGGAAGAAAGGAAACATCTCGAACATTACAGCTAAGTTCCTTGATCTTTTCAACGGATCTTGTCCCAGTAATGTTAAAAATATTCACGGATGACTGTCAGTGATGCCCATTTTGCTTTGCTCCATGTAGCCCCACAGTTCTTCCAGCAGAGGTCTGTATAGTTACACTTTTTACGCGATTCGTCTCAAACAAACATAATTTAAAACACAAAATGCACAAAGACATAATGACTTCATTTGTCCTCCTTTATGAAGCATCAAACACTGGGTGGATGTGAGCTCCCAAACAACGTACTGAGAACAATGACAAACTTAATTATTTCCTCCAGAGCCCAGAGCAAGGCTGAGAGGCCCTGCAGCTCTCTGCTGACGGACTGGAGAACTGTTCAGATGACAGGTGAAACAGAAGAAAATACAAAGAGTAAAACCTTCTAAGCGTGCCTAAAATTTCCAAATCATCAACACAGACACTCAAAACATGAACATGCATCAGACTTAATGGCTATGATCTGAGATTTCTGGTACAATATGAGCCATTTATCATGTACTGTACGTCTTGGGCCCCATTCATCACTGCGTGTAATTAGTTTTTATTTGAATATATTTATTATTTTCTCTTATGCCAACCTTCACACCAACCAAAATCTAGCCAGACATAGAACAAAGACTAAATGAAGTCCTTGTGTTTTTCATTGATGTCATCTCCCTAAAACCTCCATGTTAGTTCTGATACACTTGAAAGTTTCAGGAGTGATTTGTGACAGAAGGGTGGCAAAGGTCAAAAGTAAGGTTTACAAGAGAGTAGTGAGACCAGCTATGATGTACGGTTTGGAAACAAAAAAAAACACGAGACAGGACTGGAAGTGGCAGCTGAAGATGTTGAGATTCTCCTCGGGAGTGACAAGGATGGATAAGATGTATAAGATTAGGAATGAGATCATCAGGGGTACAGCACACGTTTAAATTTAGATGAAAAACATAAATCATCTTCCTTCAGCTGGGGGACCGCTGAAGGGTCACTATGGCGACCCTTGCGACCTAACTCGCACCAAGACTTGGCAGTTGTT